CAGCACTGCAACAGTAAAAAATATATATATACGGAAGTGGCATGAACAGAAAGGACTCACATAAGAAAAATATGAAAGTGCAAGTACAGGTATAATCTTGTTGCCATTCAATGGAAGGCAAAGGTTAATGGCCAGGTACGTTGTCTGGTCGAGAATGAGGCAGGTAGAACAGGATCAGGGGAAGAGGCAAAGAAGAGATGGAAGTCCAAAGTAGATACAAGCTCCCATGGGAGCAGGAGGAAGAAGAGATTGCAGAAGAGCCAGGTTGGAAACGAGCAAGTAAAATGTTGGCTCATTAGGTGTGCATGATGTTCTGGGAAGCCAGTCAGAAAGGCTGGTGTGCAACAGCAGGGGCCTCTGGGTATTTTTCCTTTGGTGGAAAGGGGGCCTTTTCCACTTTGGAAGGAATGCCCGTTTAGGGTTCTGGCTCTGAACAGCATAAGGAACAACTACGGGTCATAGAACAAATTAGCATAATTCTATTCCAGTGGAATTTAAACTCCTTTAGACCATGTTTGTTTCTGTCTCTGTGTCCCCATTTCCTAGCACAGTACCATGCACACAGTAGGTACTTAATAAATGCTTGTTGAAATTAATTTGACCAAGCTCACTTGTGTACCTTAGGCAAATCCTTATTGCAAAATGAGGAAATTAATTGCTGAGGGCCCTCTCAGCTCCAGATATGATGGATTTCTTACCTTTTTAAGTCTGGGGTATGACTTCTTTCAGGGACTTCTTCCCTTTTGCTCCAGTTCTCTTGCCTTGACTACTGTGATATTCTCCCAAGTGCCAACCTAGTCTCTAACCTCTCCTCTCTCCAGGTCATCCTTCACAACACTACAGGAGTAGTCTTCATAATTTAACCTAACCATGGATTTAGAACTAGAAGGGACCTCACAAGTCATCTAGCCCAGTTTCCTCATAGATGAGGTGATCAAGGCCTAAAGAAGAATAGCTAGAATAGAGAGCTAGACTTAGACTTAGGAAAACCTGAAATCAAATCTTGCTAAACAGTGTGACAACTCACTAAACCTCTCTCAGCATCTGCTTCCTCATCTGTAAAATGGGGATATTATTGGCACCTATCCCACAAAGGTTGAGGATCAAATGAGAAACATTATGTAAAGCATCTAGTAAATCCTGAAGCTGTATATAAATGCTAATGATGATGATAATAATGATGATGGAGGTGGTGCTAGTGGTGGCAGTGGTGGTGGTGGCAATGGTGATGACGATAATGGTGATGATGTGACTTGCCCAAGACCACACAGGTCATAATTGGCACGTGTGAAATTCAAACTCAAGTCCTCAATGTTTCTCAATAGTAAAGAAGACTTTTCTGTTGAATTAATGAAATCCCATAGTCTTGGCTGTCTCTGTTAACAATTTAATGCTCTCTGTTCATCTTCACTTCCTGGCTTCCCTGGCTTTCTTCAAGTTCCAGATAAAATCTCATCTTCCACAGGAAGTCTTTTGATCTTCTTTAATTCTAGTCCCTACTCTCTAAATTATTTCCAATTTATCCCGTATATATTTGGTTTGTACATGGTTGTTTTCACATTGACTCCCTCATTAGACTCTGAGCTCCTTGAGAAGAGGAATTGTCTTTTTGCCTTTCATTGTGCTGTTCACTGAGCTTAGCACAATGCTTGGTACATAGTAGATACTTAACAAATGTTCATTGATTGACAAATTATTATTTTAAAACTGCTCTCCATATACATTTTTCCAGCATTCTTTTAACATGTTTTGTTGTTCAGTTGTTTATAGTCACTCTTTGTGACCCCATTTGAGGTTTTCTTTTCTTTAATAATAAATTTATTTATTTATTTTTAGTTTTCAACATTCACTTTCATAAGATTTTAAGTTCCAAATTTTTTCCCCATCCATTTGAGATTTTCTTGGCACAGATGCTGGAATGGTTTGCCATTTCCTTCTCAGATAGCTACCACTAGGGCCTCATTATTTCAGCTTGGGACCAGTCTCCTAACTGATCTTTGGGACAGTCCCCCCTCTTTTAATTTCATATATCCTTTTTACATATGTCAGTAACTAAAATTAGCATAAGAAAGAGTAGTGTCTACATATTTTGTCCTTAAATACGTCTCTTCCTCCATGTTTTGACCTCCATTTGGTAATTATCTTTCTTTTCTCATTTTAACATGCAATCTTGTCATCCTTTTCAGCTTCTCCCTTTCAGCACCTCTTTGCCCCTGTCTCCAAGGATTATCATTTCTTCCTTCGTAATATCTTTTAAAATTCATCTTACTCCCTAGAACTAAACTCCTTTTTGCATAAAAGTAACCTTTGTTATTATAAGTTTCCTTGATTCTTTCCTAACTTCATGCCAGTCCATGTGAATAACATTACCCAAATCATCTCCTTTGGTTACTTCTTATATCTTTCTTATACATTCTTATACTACTTCAGGTTTCGATACTGATTTCCCTTCATTGTACTTATTTAAGCAAAGACTGCTGCTAATGATGACAACAGTACCTCACATTGGGAAGGCAGTATAGTACAATGCATAGAGAACCAACCTGGGATCAAGTCTTGCCTCATACATGGAACATCTAGGTGACTATGGAAAAGTGCCCCAAATGACCTTCTGATCTATTTTTGTCATTTAGTTGTTTTCAGCCATGTCCAGTTCTTTGTGATGCCATTTGGGGTTTTCTTGGTGAAGACGCTGGAGTGATTTGCCATTTCCTTCTCCAGTTCATTTTACAGATGAGGAAACTGAGGCAAACAGAGTTAAGGGACTTTACCAGGATCACACAGCTAGTAAGTGTCTGAGGCCAGATTTGAACTCAAGTTTTCTGACATCAGGACCAGTGCTTTACCCACTGTGCCACCTAGCTTCCCCACTGTAAGGGAAACTGAGGTGATCCTCCCCAATCCCTCGCACCACCACCTCATGACCTGACATAATTCATGACCTGACATAAGTAATGACCTGATATAAGTAATGTAATTTAAAGTTAGTATGCGTGACCAGGAGCACCAAGGTAACAGAACATCAAAGAATAAAAGAAACTATGTTACCAGGGCAGAACAACCCTTACCTCAAGGAATATCTTAGAGGAAAGCATGTACGTATCCAAGGAACTGTCCTCTCCTTGGATACATACATACAAAATAAGCATCTGGAGCTTTGGCCAAGCTCCACTTTTGTTCTAAGGTTGTTCTCCCATGATTTACATAGATATAAAAAGGGTCATTTGGGAAAGGGACTTTTGGAGGTCTTCATTTCAGAGATGGGGACACCCACTCTGTTGACTTTCCCAACCAGGACCCTGATGACCATTTCTAGAAGTCTCCCCAGTCACTTTGTCAGGTGAAGAAGCTCACCTTGGTTGGTGATGTACTTATTCTTTCTTTATTCTTTCTTTGTTCTATGTTGATTTACTGGATTGTATGATATACGTTATTTTAATTCCTACTTCTTTATTGCTTTAAACATTATCAAATAAACCTAATTACTTGTTAAGTTTGTGCATATCATTGTGTCTTAAGATCCGAACCTAAAAATGAAAGTACCGTGCAGTCCATAGTCCCTTTAGATTACACCCACTGATCTATAGAAATAGAGAGAGTTTCCACACTGAAAATTCCCCAGATCAGTGAAATCCCAAGTCCAACCTACAACAAATGGATGAAAAAAAAAAACTCACATTCATATAGTGACTTAAAATTTTCAGTTTTCCTTACCAAAAGCCTGAAAGATACATAGTACGAGTTAACAAAGACTCAATGATAGAAAGTGACCTGCTAATCATCACACAACTAGTGTCTGAGCTAAAATTCGAACCCAGGGTAACTACTCCAAGTTCTCTTCCCTTTGCATTGTGCCACAATGCCTGAACCCATACATAATGCTCTAGAGAGCATCCAATGTCCCTTCCAACTTTGAATTCCCAGATTCCACAATCGTTTATCCATTGGACTATTTCATCCATTTGCAGCTTCTATTTTCTCTATGGGTTCTTACTTTATGCCTGTGCTAAAAATAGCTTCATTGTACTAATCCAACCCAATATATTTTCATCTTTCAAATGCCTTGTCAAAGCCTACTTAGTCTACTAAGTCTTTTAGAAGGAAGAAAAACTAATCATCTAACATCTAAGGGATTCCTACCTTTTGAACCAAAGGTTTCTCATCTCATTGTTTTGAAAACCTGTTTCCTCATATTTATTTCATCTGGAACCCCTTTGGGAATGTCTTTTGTTTTGTAAGTGATAGACAATACTGAGCAAATCTAATGAGTTTACTTAGTCAAAGGATGTCTTAATATAATTTCATGTTAGCAATATAACAAGTGTTTTGGAGTGAGCTATATAGCCAGTGAAGAAATAAGTTTTCTTGACTAGTAAGATTGGATTTGGGTCAGGTAGATAGTTTTGGTCGTGTTTGTGTTCAATCTAATTAAACTGTCATTTCTTATCACTTCTTAAATACAGGCATGATGCTAATTAACCAGTTTGGTGGATCTTCCTCTGGCCCCCACTGATATCGAATGATGGTGCCTTCCTGAGGCAGTCCATTCTGCTTCTACATAGCTTTAATTAGAAAAAGGTTTTCCTTTGTATCAAGACCAAATTCACCTCTTTGTGACTTCTATCCATTGTTCTGAGTTCTGCCTTTCGGGCTCTAGTAGAACAATTTTAATCCTACTTTAATGTTTGTGGTGGTTGTTGTTGCTCAGTTGTTCCAGCTGTGTCTGACTCTCAATGACCCTATTTGGAGGTTTTCTTGGCAAAGGCACTGGAGTGGTTTGCCACTTCCTTCTCCAGCTCATTTTACAGATGAGGAAACTGAGGCAAAGAGGGTCACCCAACTGTCTAAGGCCAGATTTAAACTCATGAAAATAAGTATTCTTGATTCCTAGCCCCATCTTCTATCCACTGTGCTTCCTAGTTGCCCTCTAACTTTCATGTTACAGTCTTCCTACACTTGAAAGCAGTTCTTATGTCCTTTCTGTGTGTTTCCTTCTATAGGCTGGAGCCCTAGTTACATCAACCCATTATCTTATGGCATGAACTCAAGGACTTTCTCCATCCTGGTTGCCCTTCTCTAGATACTCTCTAACTTTTCTATATTCTTCCTAAAATGTGGTCACCAGTTGAATGTTACTTCAGAAAAGGTAAGAACAGAGGAGAGAAAATCTTTCCCTCCCTTGCTCTAGATACTATAACTTTCTTAACATAACTTAATATTACTTTCATTTTGGCTGTCATATTACAATATTGACTCCAATTATGCTTGCAATCCACTAAAACCCCCAAAACTATTTCAATAATGTTGTTGTCTAGTCATATCTTCCTTATTTTATATTTCTGAAGTTGATTTTCTGAACCAAGTATAATACTTTATACTTACTAAATAAATTTCATGACTTACATGACCTGATGCTAAGTGAAATGAGCAGAACCAGGAAAACACAGTATACCATAACGACAACATTGTGTGATGACCAACTTTGACAGACTTAGCTCTTCTCAGCAATATAATGATCTACAACAATTCCAAAGATTTCCAGATGGAAAATGCTATCTACTTCCAGAGAAAGAACTATGGAGTCTGATACAGATCGAAGCATTCTATTTTTCTCTTTTTCTTCTTTCTCATAGTTTTTCCTTTTTGTTCTTGTTCTTCTTTCACAATATGACTAATGTAGAAATATGTCTAATATGATTGTACATGTATAGCTTATATCAGATTGCTTGCCGTGTTGGGAAGTGGAGGAGGAAAGAAGGGAGGGAGAAAAAAAATTGGAACTCAAAAATCTCATAAAAGTGAATGTTGACAAGTATCTTTACATGTAATTGGAAAAAATAAAATACTATTAAGTGGAATAAATAAATAAATTTACCTAATTAGATTTATTTCAGCATTCTTATCTGTCGTGATCCTTTCAGATTCTGACACTGTCATCCAGTATGTTAGTTACTCCCGACAACTTTGTGCCATCTGCAATAATGATAAGCATGTACTGCATATTATCCAAGTCACCGATAAAAAATATTGATTAGGAAGTAGTTTTGAAATTATATGCTTCCTTTGACTTTTCCCCTCCATTTTATTACTTATCTTTTCATGAATAGATCACATTTCTAGGCACATATTGCAAGTAATACAAATTTCCCATTGGCACTAAGAAAGTGTAGATAGACCTTATTCTTCTGGACGGTTGGTTGTCAAAAACAAAACTCATCTGTGCTGATGTGCTTTTAGGAGTTATATGGTTTCAATCATAGGATATACCCATCAATAGCTGAGGCCCAAGCAGACAGGCTCTTTCCATTAGGAGGAGCCAGAACCACCTGTAGCTTTTAAGGTATCAAAAATATCACCAAAGCTCTGGGACCATTCCAGTTAGAATATCTGCAAGCTGCCCAGTCCTTTTTCCTGAGTCTCAAGCTAATGATGAAAGTAATGAAGTCAAGCCTTCCAATCTCAGATAGTTGCTTCGGTGCAAAGGAAAAAAATCCTATTAAATCAGAGCGGAGAGGACCCACAGCACAGCTCCTTTGTTTTAATTGAGTCCTGCTCTTTAGTTTTTGCCTGGTGAAAAGGCTCTAGCAGCTTAATGTGAAAAACACTGTTGTATTATAGCCTAAGGATTTTAAATGAGAGATTGAGTCTCCCCTTAGGACAAACATATTGCTCCAATTACCACTAATTGGAGTAACACATGAAAATCAGGGAGGGGGAGAGAAAAAAGATTTCTTAAAAAAAAATCCCTTTTTTTCTCCAGTTGTATCTTAAAGATCAAGGGTAACTCGCTAAATTATTTTTGAAGCTTCTGAACAGGCCCCCATCTCTACAGTCGTTGGATATATAGGCAAGAATTCTTTATCAATAATAAGCTCATTGTTGCGTGAGGAATTTGGGAGGGAGAGCTTTTTTTTTTTGATTGGGGGTTATAGTGTTTCGAATATTCAGTCGCCTCTCAGATAGAATCAATACACTAAGTAAGACCCGAGAAGATGCATTTACGCTCATCTGTGTCTCTTCCAGAGCCAAAGATGTTTGTCTTGCTCTATGTTACAAGTTGTGTCATCTGGGCAAGTGGACAACCTCGGGGTAATCAGTTCAAAGGAGAAAGTCACTCCCCGAGGTATATCTGTAGTATACCTGGTTTACCTGGGCCTCCTGGTCCCCCAGGAGCTAATGGATCACCTGGGCCACACGGTCGTATTGGCCTTCCAGGAAGAGATGGTAGAGATGGCAGGAAAGGTGAAAAAGGTGAAAAGGGGACCGCAGGTAATTAAAGTTAATCTTCAATGAAATACTTACCCTCATCCGCACCCCCTTCCCTTTTTTCTCCTACCCCCAAACCTGGAAAAATTACCCTTTCTTTTGTTGTTGCTTTTGTTTGTTTTAATCACCATGATCTTACGAGAATAATGTGTTAGTCAGACATAGCAATTAGGACCCTCTGTTTCTGACTCTGTTCCAAATTCTTGAGGGAAGTTATATAAGTTGCTGAGCTTTTGCTGGATTTCATTTTTCATGTGTGAAACAGCAACACTATAAATAACAGAGTTTAACTGTCCAATCTTATTCTTCACTGTCAGTCCGCATTAGCTCTATACCAGAGCTATCAAAAAGTAAATTTCTTGTGGCACCATAGAACAGCCTTACTATTCTCTTCCTCTTTCATAACCAGAAGGCTAGATGGATACCACATAGTAACTGTGCCCTGTCCTATAGTGGAAAGAGCTTTGAATTTGAAATAAGAGGATCCAGGTTCAAATCCCAACTCTGCTGTTGGCTACCTGCATGACTTAAGGCAAGTTACTTGCCTTTCAGAGTCTCATTTGACTCATTTGTAAAACGTTTTACATGATCTCTAAGGCCCCTTCCGACTTTAGATCCTATGATCAAGCCGTCTTGTTGGCAAACTGATTTGAAAATAGATGAATGAGTGATTCTGTATTAACTGCCACTGGGTATTTCTGCCTCCAGGAAGGTCCTACTCTGATGCCTTTTCATGGCATGGAGATGACCCTGGGTTCTCAAAGAGTATGTCAGCAACTTGCAAGCTCTGGCAGGTTCTATCAAACTGGAAGGGCTGCCATGATGGACTATGTGTTATCCAAGGAACAGCCTAGCTAAATTCAGAAAGCCTCATCACCAGAAGATTTGCCTTCAAAGAGGTGGAATTCTTTTGATTACAGCAACCCATGAAAATGGTAGAGTATGCAACTGATGTCAGTGGAGGGAATGCCCACACTGATAAAATTATGGAACCTTGAAGTAACGAGCAAACATATATTTCTGAGTATAATACCCTGAGAAAATTATGACTAACTCCAAATCCAGACCTCAAGGGCATGGCTGTCTAGCAAAACCACATAGGATCTAGTAGGCCCACCTTCCGGAGCCTCAATTTCTTTAGGTATAAAATAAAGTCTTCTAGATTTAAGACTCTGTAATCTATGATTTTATAAGAAAATAGAAATCAATATTTAGGGATGTGTTGCTAGCTAAACTTTGTAACAGTACAAAATAATATGTTAGCATCTATTTAAATAGCATGGTATGGCAATCATATCTATATTTGCCATCATAAAAATGCTTTTTAATTCAGAATCTAGGAAAACTCTGTCAGTTATTTAATATAGTATATACTTCTACTACAGTGCCTTTGATTATGAACTGAGCTCTCTGCATTTCAAGAGATCTTGTGATGCAAGCTTTGCAGATATAAATTGTTATAAATGTTATGGGCAATCACGGATATGAGTATAGTTGAACTCCTTTGTAATGATAATAGCCCTGATACTTGCCTTCTTGGCTAATCAAGCTTTTACTGCATGTAGTTAAGTTTCATGGGATGTAATTTTGGTCAGTAGCACACAAAAGTCATTTTCTATTAAGACTAATCATGAAGATTCTAGCATGCAAAAATAACCTTAGTGTGATTTATCTGAAGATGTCAGTTACACTATACAAACATTTATGTCAGTTCATACTATGTTAACATTTCTGAATTATTATGATAACCCTATAAGAGTCTAATTTTGTCCCTATGTGCAGAAAGGTTGTATAAAGGTGCCCTCATAATCAGTGATTAGAAGGGAAAGAAGGAAACACTTCCTATTAGCCCAAACATGGAGTACATCAATAAGTCCTTGACCTATTAGGTTAGCATAGTTTGGGAAGGGAGTGTGGTTCAAACCCAATGACCAGAAAAGAGTGCAGCTAGACCAAGTGATTTGTCCAGGATCAAATAGTATTTAGTGGCAGAGCTAAAACTAAAAACTCAGTTTTTCTGACTCCCATCTGGAAAGTCTAAGATAAATAATAATAATAATAATAATAATAATTAGTTGTTATTATTATTTTATATAGCACCTACTATGTGCCTGGCAAGCACTTTACAATCATTGTCTCCTTTGATCCTGACAACAACCCTGGGAGTGAGGGGCTATTATCATCCCCATTTTACAGATGAGGAAACCAAGGCAAATTGGATTTAAATGACTTGTGCAGAATCACATAGCTAGTAAGTGTCTGAGGCTGGATTTGATCTCAGGTCTTCCTAACTAATGGTCCGGTATTTATTCCCTGTGCCACCTGGCTTCTCATCCTTCCTCTGCTTTTGGTTTGTTGGATGACTTCAGCTAAGTCATTTAGCCTCCAGGGGCCTTGATTTCCTCATTTGTAAAATAAAGAAATTGGATTTGGTTTTACTTTAGATCCTTTCTAGTTCTAGACCTTTAACTCTACCACCTTGTAGATAAGAAGATGGTATCATTATGCAAAGAGACTTCTCATTGCAGGTAATGGGAGCTCTTTGTAAATATGCAAATGGCAGCAACTCTTCTATCAAAACAGCATTAAATCACTTTAAATTATTTTCATTTTTTTAACCTTGTGCTAATGACAGAGAAAGCACTTAAAATTTAAATGCACAATTCTTTGCTTTCATGTTTAAAATGTGTAGCCATAGTTTTAAAAGAACTCATTGACTTGGTTCTGTATTTTTAAAGCTATGCCTAAAAGACATATTTTTAATGACATGGGCTTTATAAGATTGCTATTTGTGAATCTCTCACTTGCATGTTAACTAAATTTGTAAATATTTTTGAAGGTTTAAGAGGCAAGGCTGGACCTATAGGACCAGCTGGAGAGAAAGGGGACCAAGGAGAGACTGGTAAAAAAGGACCTATAGGCCCAGGTGGAGACAAAGGAGATGTAGGTCCAATTGGACTTCCTGGACCCAAAGGAGACCGAGGAAATCAAGGTGATCGAGGGGCACCTGGTATCTGCAGATGTGGGAGCATCGTGCTCAAATCTGCTTTTTCTGTTGGCATCACCACCAGTTACCCAGAAGAAAGATTACCCATTGTGTTCAACAAGGTCCTTTTCAATGAAGGGGAGCACTATAATCCCTCAACAGGAAAGTTCATATGTGCATTTCCAGGAATCTATTATTTTTCTTATGATATCACATTAGCCAATAAACATCTGGCAATTGGGCTGGTACACAATGGGCAATTTAAGATAAAAACATTTGATGCTAACACAGGGAACCATGATGTTGCCTCTGGATCCACAGTGATCTACCTTCAACCAGAAGATGAAGTCTGGCTTGAGATCTTCTTCACAGATCAAAATGGCCTTTTCTCAGATCCAAGTTGGGCAGACAGTTTATTTTCTGGATTTCTCTTATATGTTGATACAGACTACCTTGACTCCTTATCTGAAGAGGATGAATTATGAAAGTGATTGACAATCTGGAAATTTCCCTCCCTCATTATACAAACTGACATAGGATCTAATCTGGGAGCCAAAGATAGTGGAACAGCACTGCTATAATCTGAAGGAACTGCCAGCCAGATTCTAAAGGAAACTATGGAAGTTTTCAACAGAATCCATTGAAGCAAGATGCTGTATCAAACAGCTGGGACCACACAGAATGAATTATGTAGAACAATAACTCCAGATATGAATTCCCTTGAAAGCAATGTTCATAAATATTTAAGCAAATTAAAGATAATGTCAACAAATTTTATATTAAATACAGTGAGTGATAAAACCAGCTGGCAGTAGTATTGTCTTATTAAGCTTGTTGGAATTACTTGTTTTTATCAGTTATTTAAAAGAATCATAACATACAGCATAATGTCTTGGGTAATTCTCAGAAGGCAAAAATGTAAGCCAAAAATAAAAGATAAGAGACACAAAGCATTTTCTACATTGCAAAGTGGCAAGTTAAAAACTGCTGGTACAAAGACCCCTGAGATCTACTCTAAGGTCCAATGCAAGGTGGAATATCTCACCCTTTTGTCTTTCCTTACTCACTCCAACTAAAACCAGCATTGCTACCTTCCATTCGGGTGAGATTAGACTCCTGAGGTGTTCGAATCTAGGCCTCAGGGATAAGAGGGGGTCAGCTTACTGAAATGGGTTCCCCAAAAGTATGATGAATTTCCAAACTCTTTTGACATGAAGTACCCACTGCACCTGTTTTCCCTGAGATTTCTTACAAATAAAGACAACCCTACAGCTCAGTCATTAATTCTTCCTGTGTTAACTTGGGTCTCCAACTCAACCCTAAGCAAAGTCTACCAGCTTAATAAAAATCCTCTTTCAACCTCATATTTCTTTTCCTTTTGCTCTTTTTTTTCACTACCAGAATCTATCTTTACTCTGCTCCCCTGCAATCACCAGCCAATCAGGTCAATAATTTCCCCCGGCCTACCACTACTCCCTTAGGTCACATCAATAGTGTGTCCATTTTTCCTCCCTCCTGGCAATATCATATGATATTCAGCTCCCTCACCTACTTCTCTTCCATTCATCAGTTCCATTACTTTATCCACTTAGATTTGTTCTCTCTTTTCCCTTTCAGTCTTTCCTCTTATCCAAATAAGTTTCCTTTGGAAACCAGTTCCCTTTTTCTGACTTTTCTCCCCAATATTCATACTCTGTATGCCTCATTTCTCCTAACCCAGGTCAAGAAATCCAGTAAATGAGGAAATGGAGACCTAGATAAAAGAAAATTTGAGGGATCATCTATGTTTAATTAATAGTTGAACCCATGGAAATATATAATGTAATTTTTCCTAGACTCCTAGAAAGAAAAACTCAGAGGACTGAGTTGTTAGGACAACCACAGCCATCAGAATATGGAACCTCAAGAGAAGCAGCTAGAACCCAATCAAGAAAGTCAATGGCAGAGGCAGCTAGATTATGCATTGGATAGAGCTCCAGCCTTGGAGTCAGGAGGACTTGAGTTCAAATCCGGCCTCCGACACTAGCTGTGTGACCCTGGGCAAGTCACTTAACCCCTACTGCCTCATCAAAAAAAAAAAAAAAAAGGCAAGGACAAAGAAAATTCTAATATTATCTGACATTTTTATAGCACCTTAAGAATTGCAAAGTACTTTATGTACATTACCTTGTTTGGCTGATAAATCACACGGTAGAATTTTAAAGCTAGAAGAAACTTTAGAGCACATTTAGTCAAACCTCTTCATTTTACAATAGAAAACTGAGAATCAGAAAGGTGAAAATAGCTTTCACAAAGTCCCACAGCTAGTCAGCTGCAAAGACCAGGTGAGCACCCAAGCATTCTGATTCACTGTCCAGGTAGTGTTTTTCTGCAACATTCTCACTATAAAGACACACATTGTGTTTGATATATGTGCATGTGTATATGTATGTAATATAATTATACATGTATATTACATATACATTTATATATAATGCCCACATATTGTATTGTTATGTATATAATTTAATTTATCTTGATTGTAATTTGCTAATGCAGCTTTTTGGTTAGTCAAAGCTATTTTTAAAAAAAACATTCATTCCAAAACCCATTTCATTCATTTTCAAGTTCAAGTTTCTTTTACTATTTCTTAACCCAGAGGTGCATTTTGTTTTGAGAAACCTGGGGTGGGGGAAAGGGAAGCAATTCCAGCTTTTTTAAAGAAATGAAGGTGTTTTGTACTTTTTCTCCAAAAGAATTCCCAAGGCACTCTTTTCTCTGTGCAAAAAATAATAATAATAACCCAGTGGAAGAGATTTTAATAAAAAAATACCCATACTCATAATTATTTCTGAGAATTGCCTTACTATATACACCACACAATTTCCTATTTCCATAAAAAATTCATAGTCATAATTATTTCTGAGAAATGCCCTGTTATATACTCCACACAAACACATTTCCTATAAATACATATTTTCATATAGCCATAAAAGGGTAGGAAATTCCAACAATATAAATGGCATTGTTTATGAAGTGAAGTGGGTTTTTTCTCTGTAACTGTTATTAGGATAGGGGACATGAATTTTAGGTGGTGCTTTTTTAAATACATTTTCTCCTTATCGTGTCATATTTTTATTAGTATGTAAGATTCACTTTGACTAGTATTTATTCAGCCCTACTATGTGCAAGGCTCTATGCAGGATTATGATAAGAGATATAAAGTTAAGATGAGACTTGTTCCCTGCCCACAAGGAGTTACATTGAAATAGGTGGATAAAATTCAAAATAAAGTCTTCTGTGAGGCCATGGGGAAGGTCATACTGGCAGAGGTGGGTGTGGTCAGGAAATGAAAAACTCTGGTTGCATCAATAGAAGCTCAAAATAGCTGGTTAAAGAGTGAAAAAATTCAAACATTCTGTTGTTATGTGATTCTACATGATTTCAAACAGCTGCTTTGACTGAACATTTTCCCCCGCTGGGGTGACTGATTTTTTTTTAATAACTGAACTGGCTGGTTATTTTCATGTTATGTAGATGTGGCCTGCTTGTAATTTTTTTAAACTGAATGCCATCATGATCATAGTTCCTTATCTTTAATTTTAATGAGTGAATAGATTATTCTCAGATAAAACACTTTCATTTTTCTCCAGACCAAATGATCCTTAATAGCGATACTATTATCCATGTAACAATATAAGCAATCATCTTTCATAATTACAGAGAAAGGGTAACTTTGAAAACCATTCATTCCATGGAACCCAAAAGAGAAGAATAAATCTAATTATTAATTCCTAGCTAACATAATGAAATCACAGAAATAGGAGATTGAAAAGATGTCTTAGGTCATTTGCTATATTTCTCTCTTGAAGTTTCCTTCTCAGCTCTTTGAAATACACAAACTAGTGCCACTTGAAATCAGTCAGTGAGATTTCCTTCATTTTTATTAGGATACAAATCATTCTTACTTTCAGAAAAGTGTTTGCTTTCTTCATGGTAACCCACCTTTCTCAGTTAATTTTTCCCCCTCACCTCATTGCTCATACATTGGCTAACACCATAGAGCCACTATCAAATGGGTTGTAACCAGAACATTCCATGGGTGCAATTAACTCTCTGCATTCCATAGACATGGAGCTCTTCCCAGGCAGTACATGTCATTTCCTGCCTCCATATTTTTGGACCACTTGTGTTCCCCTCAAATACTCTCCCTCCTCATCTTTACCTGTTGGAATTCTTTCCAAATAGAGCTCAAGTGTTACCTCCTATGGGAGGCTTTCCCTGATTCCTCCAAATTATTGGTGCTTTCTCCTTCTTGAAATGACTTTGAATTATTCTGTACTGTATTGACATTTTTATATCCCTATATATTCCCCCAATATAATGTAATTTCCTTGAGAGGAGGTGCTATGATGTCTTTATCATTGTACCTCTGATGCCTAACACAGTACCTTGCACATAACAGATGTTTCATTAATGTCACTGAGTTTAATTGAAGTGTATTATTTTCAAGAGCAATATAGACAGGCCCCGTTGACTTGGGCATATGGGATCTCTTGTTCTTGTCCAGTTATGTTACAGGGGGAATTGTAAAACTAGCTACTTCTTTTCCTGTATCTACTCCATTTTGCAAAGTTATGCATCCTACATCCCTTTTTTATCTCATCCTCTCAGTCATTTTCTTAGAGTATCAAAAGGCAAAAGTTTTGGAATTGCCTCATGTCTTTCTCTTCAGAGGTCAATCCAAGAGAAGCTGAGGACAGTCAGTGTCTCCATTTTCACAGTCCATATGCTCCCAAAATGTGTATGTAGATTGTATGTTCAGTGCATTAAGTAATCTAGCCATCTAAAGGGGTAAATCCTTGTGGCAGCTCAAAAAAATCCTTTGAAATCAAGTAATCAACAATTCAGCAACTGTTTAGTAAGTGCCCAGTCTATGGAAGGTGCTAGTTGATACACAAAGATGGAAAGTAATATAGCCTTTACCCTCAGGGAGCTTACAATCACATCCTGATGTATTAATTTCATAGTCATAGAATTTTGAGTCAGAAGAAATCTTAAAGATTTCCTAGTGCTGACCTTATTGTTGCTGGAGGATATTGAAATCCATAGAAGTGAAATGACTTGGCCCCAAATCATAAAAGTAGAATCACAGATTTAGAGCAGGAGGGCACCGTGGAAATCAGGTAGTCTAATCATAGAGACTTGCCTCCAAGTCACGTAGTATGTGGCACAGCCAGGATTAGAAGCCAGCTCCTTTCCACTGTACCACACAACCTCCCTTAAGAAAGTAGCAGAATGAGAATTTGAACTCAAGTCTTCTGACTCCAAGTCCAATGTTAGGATTTTTTTTTTATGAAGTGTACTTAAAGAAAAGCAAACACCTGTACTTCTTTTTGACCCCATGGTGCTTCTAGGGTCATAATGAAAGTAAGGGATAAATCCAAGAATCATGAGTGTCACAGCAATGGGGGTTTGGCATTGGTTTTGTTGTTGTTGTTTGTGGGAGAGAGGAGCTAATAATTAACTCAGTTGGTGACTGGGAATGCTTAGTCTACAAGATGTCAAATAACCATCATAGCTTTTTCACGTAAGTAGTTGTCTCAGGGGCAGCTAGGTGGCGCAGTGGATAGAGCTCTGGCCCTGAAGTCAGGAGGACCTGAGTTCAAATTCAGCCTCAGACCAAACACTTGACACTTACGAGCTGTGTGACCCCGGGCAAGTCACTTAACCCCAACTGCCTTAAGAAAAAAAAAAGTAGTTGTCTCAGTGTCACATAGATTTATCCTATGATTAGCTACACTAGTCATGCCTTAGAGGGAGAA